TTTTTTTGGCAAACTTACACACCGAAGCAACACTAATTTTAGTGACCTCCGATCGGCGTAACCGGGTGTCATTACCACCAGCGTGAATAACAATCTTACTGTATTTAACCTTATCCTTAGCCAGTAGTTTCAGGTAGGATTTGATGTCGCCCGTTCTGGCCCCCGGCAAACATTTGACTATGGTCCCTGGTGTCTCTAATGCCACGTTTCTGACTATGGAGCTGCCAATCACCAGAGTTGGCTTCTCAGTGGGTGTGTCACTGAGTGGGGAAAACCGGTTAGAAACGTGAACGGGTTGGTGGTGACCAGTGGGCAGAGATCCACGACTACTTGTATAGAAAAACAAGACAGTTAGAATACTGTTGAAACACGTTATGCTGCTGAAAGGAGCAGTTGCTGAAAAAGATGGTTACAAACTTCTTAACTTCTTAGCGTTTTTGAGTCCCCCCCGTCCCTCAGTGAGGTCTAGAAGCACAAGATCTATATCCAGCCATTCAGCAAAGATGCTGCTGGATGGCTGTACATCTTATTTTGGCATTTGACTAATTAGATGTAACCTGACTCCGCCAGATGGATTTGCTCCACATATCCATCTGGAAACCTTCCGTTGCAGTAATTTTGGGAAGTGGCGAAAATACTGGTTAGCTGATTGGCCTATGTTGGTGATAGACGGGCCAAATAAACCAATCAGAGCAACGAAGCATATGACGTACTAACAGACCGACGACAAAAACACAACCACAAGCCAGGCTACTCTTGCCGAAACCAGTCGGGAGAAGAGCAAAAACATCTTTTCCTCTGAGAAAAGCCTCCAGAGCAGTGCTCTTCTTTCAGTGAAGGAATACTCTGTAATTCCGATAAAACTTGCTCGATAGCCACGCTAACGCTAGTTTCATCAGCTATAGCCGTCATGTTCTTTAGACTGAACTGCCGCGCTTCTCGTTGCGTCACACCTCAACCTGCCTCAAAGCCAACGCTGATTGGACATTCGTTTGGTGAACGGCTCCAAATTTTCTTCAACGGAGAGTCTCCAGACTGATTAGCGAGTGAAACCTTGAAAGCTCGCAAGATCAGGATGGTCTCACGAGGCTAAATTAGATGAGCCCTTGAATGATATTTTACCCTCTGTAAATTAAGTTGGGGAAAAAAAGTCAAAGTCAAGAAAAAAAGGTAAAAAGCTAATTGATAAGTTAAAAAGTATAGTTCAAAAGTTAATAAGCCTAGTTAAAAATTATATTTAGGTTTATTAACTAAAATATGTAAGTGCCAGTATCAGCATTAATGCCTCTAAAGTTATGTTGTACCAAAGAAAATGTCTTTCTTTCAGAGTGTTTTTCTTGAATTTCTTAAAGAAGCACCTTTGTTATTTTTCCTAATATATTCAGGGAAGTTGGCATTTCTTGTTATTACATTAACATTAAGTTTTGCCATCAAAATATCCATACTTTTTGAAAGTTACAAAGGTAAAAAGGTCTTGTCCTGAATTCCAAAAACACAATTAGTTTGAAATTTTGAGTATTTTGAGTATTAAGTATTTCACTGAGGGCCCTATAAAGGGTTAAAAACTCACTTCCAGACAGTTTGGTTGTTGTTGCCTTTTGTGATGAGGAAACAATGAAAACTGACTGGCTGTGGCTGACAGAAAGCAGTGAAGAATCATAAAATTTTAGTCCGGTGTAGTCACCAGATCTGCCCGGGTCCTGTGCATGCCAGTGACGTTACGCTACATGATTGGCTGACTTTTGTCACATCATGTAAAAAATTGGTTGCCCAGACAATGATAATGACATCACACAGCGTCCGGTGCATCTGTAATGTTAGCATGTTAAATGACCGATGAAGTTTTACTTGATTGACAACAAAACTGAAAAAAATCTGTTTATGGTGAACAAAGTAACTGTTATACTACATTCTGACTGCAAGCAGCAGTGTGAACGTCTGGTTGTGCAGAGACGGCTCCTTCCCTCAGGAAAACATGCAGTGAGGCGGCTTCGTGATGAGGCAAAGAGGAACACGCTGACCCACCCTGAATACCAGCGGCCAGATAGAAACGACACACTGAGGGCGCTCTAAGAAACAAACATCCCTCTAGCTGCATCACACCATTCAGAAAACAAACCATTACAGGACAAACTCGAATTCTGATTTAGACCAGCATATGCCTGACGTACATAAAATCTGGCAAAAATGCTGGCATACGTTGGATAAGTTATAGGTACTTTTTGTATAGTTTTAGAGCACGCTGAAACACGCTGGCACACATCGACACACGGTGAGTATGTCGATGTATGCCATACGTGGGCCATGCTTTACAGGTAAGTTATCTGATCGTTAAGTGTAGGGTTGTCAACTCCCTGAAAAAAAAAGAGACACCTCATGTGCGTGCCAGCTGACCCTATTCCCTCTACCCCTCCTGGCGTGGTGATTTTTTTAACTCCCGTTTGTGTGTGAAATTATTCTTTTTTCTATTTGACTCAAACTTCTGCATTGAATTGGATGCATATTCCTGAGTGACATGAACACGTGGAAAAGAAATTATTATCCAGCAATTGACTTAAATAACAAACTTTGCAGAATAAAATATCTTAAATATAAGCCTGTCCTGCTTAACTTCAGTAAACTGTAACTGTAAAAAATAAATATAAACCAATAGATAAATAGTGCACATTTTTGGTGCAACAGCAAACTTGTGCAAACTTGTAAACATATTTGTGCCCTAAATGCAATGACTGTAGGCTACAGTTGTAAAACAGAAAAAAAAAAAAAAAATCATTAGCTCAATGCCACATTATATTACTTGTTCCACTTGTATTTCCTCTGAGCTCTTGCAGCAGTGAGGAGTTGTCCGCCCCCAAAAGCAGCGTCAGCATTTAAATTACTCCGTTCGTCCCCCATATTGCTCTGTTGTCTCCTGATATCTTCTCCGTGAGCAACACTTGGCTCAACCAATGGGATGAGGGGATTCTGGATCGTTACATATATGTATGGAACAAGTTTACCGTAAGTTTTGTATCTAACGTGCCCTTGTTCCCATTAGCTTTTTGCTAACGATTCTTTTTACTCTCACAGTAATACGGGAGAAAATGCATTCTTTTTCCACTAAATATGGGACAGGTACTTCTATTCTGTTTTTCAAGGGACGGTTGGCAACCCTAGTTAAATATAATTTACTAATAGGTTGTGGCGTCTAGCTTATCCAGAACCTATAAGTAATGTGCAGAGGATAAAGTATAAAGGAGGATAAGTCCTCCAGACTTCATCCCCATCATAGGGTGAGCCAGAAGGTGAGTGGGATGGATCCTCCCTGCGTTCACGCCCACCACCAACAAACTTCCTAGTGGACATAACACTGAATCTGCTGCGGCTACAAACCTTCATTCTTTCTTTTTCTTTTTTCTTATTATTTATTCTGGGCTGCCCTCTTTAGGTGCAGCGATGAGCCTGAGGAGAGCAGCTTTTACTGATGCTTTGTAATGCCCATGAAATGATGGCATAATTTCATAGGCATTATGCTGCTGTGCGTTACGCATAAGTTAGGCTGTCGTTGGACATAAGTTCTGGACTCCTTATTAATACTCTATGTATACACCCAACATTGAAAAAATACATAGGAAGTTCAGTGTATGCCAGCGTTTAAGGATATTCTGGGATGTCAGGCATACGCTGGATAAAAGGCTGGTTATCCTCCCGCAGCAGTGTGTTGCAATGAGCTTCTTGCAGATATTTTTGATTTATGCACAATATTGAAGCGTGGTCTGCGCTATGTTATTCCACGCCTCAACGCAAGAGGGATAATCAGGAACTAGCTGTGGGTCTAGATACGGCCGAGGCGCTGAGGAAGTGGGGGCAAGTTTGTGCGACAACAGAGGGACATGAAGGGGGAAAAGAGCAGGGATCCAGGTGGAAAAATGGGTTCCAGCGTTCTCACGCACCTCGCTCTTCTAACTGGTCCACATTCACGAGTCGTTTTCCACAATGGTGGTCATAAAAACCAAACAAGCCGTTAAGGTACCAAACAGGAAATACGCATAGTGTAGAGCAGATGTAGATTTGACAATCAGAGGCCTCCTGTCTGCGGTCAGCTTCAATTATGGAGAGGTGGAGCAGGTGGTCTGCGCTATGTTATTCCACGCCTCAACGCAAGAGGGATAATCAGGAACTAGCTGTGGGTCTAGATACGGCCAAGAAGTTGAGGAAGTGGGGGCAAGTTTGTGCGACAACTAGGGACATGAGGGCCAAAAAGAGCGGGGATCCAGGTGGAACACACCTCGCTCTTCTAGCTGGTCCATCTTCATGAGTCGTTTTCCACAAACAAAACAAGCCGGTAAGGAAATACACATAGTGTAGATCAGATGTAGATTTGACCAATCAGAGGCCTCCTGTCTGCTGCACTGTCTGAGGTCACCTACAATTCTGGAGAGGTGCAGCAGAGTGTCTGCGGAGGGGGCGGGGCATGTCTGTGTTCAATGCAACACACGCGGATGACCTGGTTTCTGAGTATAAACCAGCCTAAAATCTGACAGGTGTGACAGGGACCTAAACCAATAACAGCAAGGCCCATTAAACTGTCCTCATGGTCCAAAACATGATGCGTAAAAACTTCAGATTCAGATTATGCAGACAAACGCGTTTTAACTCTAACACCAGTGACATCACGCAGTCATGCAACGCCATCAACATTTATTAAAGTATGTAATAATTTCATACTTAAAGTACTTTCAGAAGTTTGTATTCTGAATGTGACCAGCAGACTTTTCCTTTAAATTACAAACCAAAAAAACATAAAATTTCTACAACTATTCACCAAATTTTGTCATATTTATTTTCAAATATGCAAAGCAGAAATTCTAACCTCCATTCTTACATTCACCATTTCACTTCTCATCAAAACGTACTTCTCCGTGTGTTAATATGTAGATGCTTATTACTGCTTTTGTTATTTTCCGACTCGTGCTCATGCCTGCGTTTAGATTTCTTCTCCATGTCTGTTTGGTTCGTAGGAAGTTGGCCAAAAAGCAGAAGGAAACAGCGAGTAGCTCCACCCAGCAGAGGGAGATGGGTCCGGTCACCACTGCTGATAAGAGCACCACCAAAGTGAGCACCCTGCACAAAGATGACCCTTTCTCCACCTCCAGCCCGGACCTTAATGGCTTCAGTGAGTAAAACCTGTGTCCCAGTTCGTCCTGAAAGTAAATGCTAAATGGACCAGTGTTCTGTCAGATCAGCATACCCTGTCAGACCAGCATACCTATAGTCAATACCTATGCGCAAGACGTCAGATTTAGGTTTATCCCTTTAGTTTTGTATGAAAACTAAATTTTAAACTACCTCGACGGGCGTTTGTCCCTTTAGTCGTGTACAAAAAACAAAAAAAAACAATTTAATCTGAAAAACTCACACAGAAAGAAAAGACAATTAGAAGGAAATTATTGATAAATTATTGATACAATGACTTTAATCTTTGCCGCTCAGACCTCGGCAGGAAACATAGCGCTGAATTTTGCTTTGATATGCATCAGCAGGAGTAAAGAATAGGGATGTATCGCCCCAGGCCTGAAACTGGTGGTGGAGTGGAGATGGATGAAAGTCAGTCTATAGACTGCTGGCTGACGAGATTCAGTCGACTGGATGAGCTGATAGTAAGAGGTTCACTCAGGGACCTGGAAGATGGAAGTCCAACTGGGATAACGCTGGTTGCATGAACCTGTCCATGATGAGCAAGCATGAAGCGACAGTGGAGAGGAAAAACTCCCCATTGGGAAGAAACCTCTGGCAGAACCAGGCTTAACATGGTGACCTTCTGCCAGACCGGTTGAGATAAAACAGGGAACGCAGTAGGAGTCCAGGAGGAATGAAACTCTGATGAAGTTTTAGCTATGATGGTGGAGGAGGGGATGGAGGTGGGTATAAACCGGGTCATCTGTGTCATGATAGGCTTAAGAGGCTGAACCCACATGCAGAACACCACAGGAAGCTGAGTAAAAGTTTAACAGAGTTTATTGAAAAACATACAGAGTAATTATGAACTGGTTCTGGTACAGGTCCGGGACTGGAATCACTGACATCTGCCGAGATGGATAGTTTGATTAGCCAGGCAGCGAGATGGCTTGTCGAGAGTGTTAATTCAGAATGTACCTAGATGAGGTTCTGGCAGATCCTTTGAGAGAGGGGGAACCGGTTGGGTCCAGAGACTGTAGATTCAGCAGGGAGCTCAGCGGCAGCAGCGTCTAGCTTCTGACTCGTGAGTTTCAGACCTTGACTTGGTTTCCTAGCTTTTCCTTGAGAGCTGTTGGGGGAATACAGACTGATGTCTTCGGGTTTGGCTTCCTTGGGCAGGCAGGCAGGTTTCCAGACAAAGCTTATCCAGAGCTTCAGACTTCGATCAGGTTTCCTATGAGGCAGAGAAGACAGAGGCAGGTTTGAATCTTGTTTCTCTCTGGAGTCTACTATGATTCTATAAATTAACAGAGGCTCAGGTTTCGCTAACCAAACTTGGTCAACACTGCGGCGTCGAAGGAAAGTCTGACTGCTGCTTATGTAGGAAGGTCTCCTGATGGGCTGATGAGCTTCAGGTGTGCTGGAGGCTCCAGCCCAGGAGACCCACAGCGCTCTCTGCTGGAGACAGATGGTAAATCTCCATATCCCAACAGTAACCCCAGTCCCTAACAGAAAACATAAAGCAGAAGAGGATCATCTGCGCCCTCTGGTGGGCAAAGCCTCAGGATCCCAAAAATCTGAATCAAAGTCAGACATGGCACATCCACCGCCCATGCCTTGGGCAACAGACTGAGATGTGGACTTGGAGACCTTCTACGATGAACTTTGGATGCTGATTGGGCTTTCGTGGAGGTATGGTTCAAAGCTCACTAGCTTGTGTTGGAGGTAGAAGAAGGCGATTAATCAGTTTATTCAGTTGATCTTGACCATTTTAAGGTCAGATTGCCATACACTTCAAAAAACAACACAAAGTAAGTAATTAAATAGTTTTTTATTGTACATGACTAAAGGGATACATGCCCATTGAGGTAGTTTAATGTCCATTTTTTGTACAAGGGATAAACTAAACGAATATACGGGTATTGACTATGGTATGCTGGTCTGACCAGGTAGGCTCATCTGACAGAACACCGGCAGCATTGTGGGAAAGATTCTGGTTCATTCTAGTTAGTAAAGCAACAAATTATCCAGTTTCCCTTCATTGGCTAGTTCTTCAATCACATTATTGTCATGGTATTACTGTATTTATAACCATTAAGATTTGGTACCAGCTGTGCTCATATCTGCCCATTCCAGGTGAATGCTGCATCTCGTCAAAGAAATAACTGCATATAAAAAATCCTTTTTTTCTTTTTCCATTTTTCTTGTTAAATTACACATCTGTGTGTCTAGTATAATTAGACAGTTGCACTCAGGCGGGCATTTTTCTCTTGTAAATGTCACGCTGGCCTTTGGGAGGACTCTGCTTTTTAGAGCATCAGACCCGGCCTTACGCTGGTTATAACAGCCTGCACCTTTCTGCTTAACTCTCCCAGCTAATTCACATTAATGTTCCTGTGCTGAAACTCACCAACTGGACACTGACATCCGCATCAGAAATCTGTGATATTTGAATGTGAAAAATTTAGCATCTTTCATTCATAAATAGGGTCAGATCTTGACCATTATGTCGTGTTCTGTCTGTACGTTTGTGAGAAACTTTCTAGCAGAACAGTCACCTATTTACCTTGCAATCATCTCTGACCTGCTTCCCTATCCTCTGAATGCTCTACTCTGCATTCAGGGTGCTATGCAGTCTTATCTTTTTGGTCGGGTTTTTCAGCCTTCAGCTATATTTAGAAGAAACTCCTACAGTAGCAGCCATTCAAAATGTACCCACTTTCCTTCATTGGTCCCCTTCAATTTATTTTTAAACATCAATATTTGTACTAAATATTCTTTCAGTCATAATTTGTGGACATTAAGATCTAAATAGAAGCATCATCTACTGGTCAGACCCTGCAATTCAGTGAAAGGGTGGACTCAGAGTAAAAAATTATGCAAGTGAGGGTCATTCCATTGGCTGGATGTTGGAGGGCATTTTGCTGGGCCATTCGGCCGGCGTTTGATGGGGACGGCCATTTTGAATGGCTGCTACTGTAGTTTTTCTAATTATTTGCTTCTCTCTTGCCAATCTTTTCTGATGTCTAATTTTGTGGCTGGTACAGCGAAGCAGAACACCTGGAGGAAAGGTCTAAACCTGCTTAAGTTCTGTCCCGTTCAACTTCTTCTGGCTTTGTTTTCCTTGCTGATGTTCTCCTTACCCAGACTGTTGAACAGTCCCATCTTGATGGCATAATCTTATGCCCTTAATTTGCTTCAACTCTACCCAGTTTCTTTAATTAAAACTATATGAGTGAAAAACAAAAACTACAACAAAGGCTCTTATCTGTTAACATATGTTTCCTATTGATAGGGGCTTGTATGCGCTCAGAGGAATAATGTGTTCTAACTGTAAAACATGGTGAACTTTAAAAACATTTACCATGAGTTCAAGACAAGCTGCCTTAAAAGCCAAGGCTTGAGTGAAATAAAATGTCTAACAGTGTGGTTGGGTCCAAGTCACTCCATGTTTTTATGAAAGTGTTCACTGCTCTGCTGCAGTGGCGCCACTAGTGGTAGGGCCAGTGTAAATTGTAGTAGCATCAGTTTACTATTTTATCCCATTATGCACAGCCAGCGATGTAACATTAAAAATCACACAATAAACCAAGATATGAGTAGGTGTTTACTTAAAGTCGTAGGGTAGTTGCATTTCCGTTGCATTTCCAAATTCTCCCGAGTGGTGCCCGACTTTACAAGAGTGAATAAAGTGAATGTGATTGGTTGATTATCAAGGGGGTGGGATTGTTGTGGAGGAAGGTTCGCAAGCAAGTTTGGTTGTGGTCGGTTTCTCTGAAGCATCATTCCTTACCTGTTAGCAACTTAATGCTAGCAGGTTCCCAATGGGAAATTCCATTGGGACCAAGTAGCAGTAAATTGGTGACTTAGAAACGACACTGTCAAGGAACGCTATGGACAGAGGAAACATGCAAGAGGAGGAGAGTTTTGTGTTGGAGGTCGTGGAGGAGTCTCCTCCATCATCCATTTTTTATTTAGAGGAGGAAAGCGGGGACGAAGATGTTGTGGAAGAGGACGCCAGGGCGGCAGAAGCTTGGTTTGGTGTAAAAGGCTTATAGCCGTACATGTTTGAGCCCTTGCATCGCAACGCTGCCAGTTCTGTTAGCTCTAAGCCTGCCGAAGACACAGACGTCCAGGATTAGAGAAAAAAAAAAGAATTTTTCAAAATTTTGGAACAATATTCTCTAATAAAGAGTACATTTATATACATGTTTAAGCCAGAATGGTTTGACAATATGATTTAAATGCCACAAATATTGACAGAAAGAATATTTTAGCTCAAATTTTGATGTTTAAAAAGTAATTGTGGGGGACCAGCCACGGGACCATTGAAGAAAGTGGGGACATTTTGAATGGCTACTACTGTACATTTTATTAGCAATGTATAAATAGGGGTGAGTCTTACTTTAATTACTACTTTTTTTCCTACTCTTCTATCCAAAAAACCAAAATATACATAAAGGTTTGTGATTGTTAAGTCCCTAAATTTGGGAAAATTCAAAGAGGTGTGAAATCTTTTAGTCATTATATGAAGGGAGAAGGTTGCCTCTGTGTCAATGTCCAGAATTGGTCTTCCCGTTTCTGTTATCCGGCTTTTGTAGTATTTTTTTCTTAACCGGGCTTAAATTTACTTGCATGCAGCATACTCTGCCACGGATCCAGGCTCAGTCCTAATGAGACTGAAAGCGCTGACACAGAGAAGGGGACCCAATATTTCTGCAAAGAGTCTCACAGGGCAAATAACCTTTTTGTGTTATTGCATTCTCACCAAGTCGTCAGCTATCTTCACAGGACGTTGCTGTCAAAGCAGATTTCTCTTGGTATGCAGGTACACTCCTGACTTTATTAAAGCTGGACTGCTTTTTGGGGGACATTAGCATACGATGCCGGTTTGCATGAGGTGAGAGGGATTTTATCACAGAGTAGGAGAGAATATGTTGTGTTTGGATGTATCAGGAGTGTGGGACAGAGATAAGGAATAGGAGAAGCGATGAAGGAACAGGAGGACAATAAGGAAAGGATGTTAAACTTGAATCATCCATAGCAGGGAAATTGTGTCATTAAAAGTTCAGTAGATCATTCATAAATAATGGAAGAATTCAACAACAGATCCTGTTTATGTATCACAGTCTGTAGACAGGTTTTCATCAATATTTTATCAAGAATCGCTTTAAAATATGAAATAACTGAGGTGGTTTTTGACTTTTGGGGGAAAAAGTGTTAATGTGAGAAAGAGGAGATGGGAAAGCATCTGTTGAATCGGTTCTGACAGAGTGAACATTTCTGTCACATGACTGATCAGCTGTTTCCAACCATTGCTAATATTCATTAAAACTTTGCTCTGTCAATGATCTGTGTCCCAGCAGTTTTCTACCTCTACTTCCTGTTTTCCAGCCAACTGTAACTCAGCTGATGACATTAAGCAGGCGCCTGATAATCTCAATGGACGAAGAAAGGTCTAATTCGATTTATTTTTTTTATTGACATTTAAAATAGACAAACTAATAAAATGTACACTGACAGCAATTCCAAACTGCCCTTCCCAGTCAAATACCAACTTGATGGCAGCCCACTTCCCTCCAACTCCCAGGAAAATCCCTTCTGACTTCCAGCCACTGGAGTGACTCCACCCTTTCATTGAATTACTGGGTTTGACGAGGAGATGATGCTTCTTTTTATATCCTAATGTCCACAAATCATGACAAAAACAATATTTCAGATTACAAAGATTGATGTTTAAAAAGAAATTGTAGGGGACCAGCCAAGGACCAACCAAGGACCAGCCAATGATCAGCCAAGGGACAGCCAAGGACCAACCAGGACCAGCCAATGATCAGCCAAGGGACAGCCAAGGACCAGCCAAGGACCAACCAAGGAACAGCCAAGGATCAACCAGGGACCAACCAAGGACAAGCCAAGAACCAACCCAGGGGCAACCAAGGACCAACAAAGGTACAGTCAAGGACCAGCCAAGGGCAAGCCAAGGACCAGCCAAGGGCAAGCCACGAACCAACCCAGGGGAAACCAAGGACCAGCAAAGGGACAGTCAAGGAGCAGCCAAGGGCAGGCCAAGGACCAGCCAAGGATAAGCCAAGGGAAAGCCAAGGACCAGCCTAGGGCCAGCCAAGGACCAGCAAAGGGAAAGCCAAGGCCCAGCCAAGGCCCAGCCAAGGGACAGCCAAGGACCAGCCAAGTGACAGCCAAGGACCAGCAGAGGGCCAGCCAAGGACCAGCCAAGGGCCAACCAAGGATAAGCCAAGGATCAGCCAAGGACCAACCGAGGACGAGCCAAAGACCAGCCAAGGGACAGCCAAGGACCAGCCAAGGACTAGCCAAGGACCTGCCAAGGGCCCATCAAGGAAAGGGGGGGAAAGTTTGAATGAATATTCTTATTTTTAACTTCCCCTCCACACCAACTGAAAATCTTGTTACAAAGTGCTTATGCAGAACTTTTAAGTACATATAAACGTCATAAGTTTTCTCGCACTTAGTCCTTGTCAGGGTCGCAGTGGGGAAGGTGCCTATCTTCAGCAGTCTATGAGCGAGAGACAGCGTACACTCTGGACAGGTCGCCAGTTTGGCGCAGGGCAATACAGAGACCCACAATGAGCACACAACCACACATGCACATATGCATGGGGATAACATGCAAATTCCATGTTTTCAAAAAACAAATACTGATTCAACAAATGTAAATATATAAATATGTCGAAGCCTTTTTTGTATTTAAAATCTTAAATTTAAAGCTTGTGGAGCAAAAGCAAAAGTTAAAACAGCCATTGATTCTTACCTGATCATAATTAACACAGAAAAAAAAATGAAATAAGTCCCTAAATGTGACGCATCACACACCATCTCAGCCTGTTCAATAATCCACTGTGGAAGTTAGTGCTAGCCAACATGCATTCATCTGAGCTAAAACACACACTGTGTGTTTCTGCAAGTGTTAATGTTGTTTACACTTTTTGCAGGCTCTAAACAACCATGCAGGTTACCACATGAAGATTATTGAATAATTAGTCCCCTTACAGTCCGGCCTGTGCATGTCTCTGCCTTTCTTATTATTTATTCATAGAGCCCTATAGTGGACTCTTATGTGTCTATAGGAGATGGTTTGTGTGCAGGAACATGCTAGCATTGATCACAGTTAAAGGAAGAAGGCTCTGATAATGAACCCCATTTATAAAATGGGATGCTTCCACATGGATGCTCCACTCTGCTCCTAAAACCTCCCAAGTTGTCGATTATCATCCTGTTTTTCCACTATGAGACCTAAAGTAATTTCTTTAGATAGATCTCAGATGAACTTTGTTGACCCACAGAAAATTAGTCCTGCTGCAAAGTCCAAACAATGACCAACCATAAGACGGCTAACCAGCCCTGATGACATCCCGCTCAGAGGGCGGACTGTCTCTAGGTGAAAACCACACAGAGTTAAAACTAGCAACTGTCTAGGCTCTGTATTTCTTTGTTTCTGTAGCATGGTGGCGGTCTCTGTGCTTTACCAAAGCAACATCATCAACTCAAAGTTGGTTAGTTAACAGTCAAGCCATTTTGTCAGAATGTGGGGTGGGGGAGAACCTCCCCAGTACCGTGAGGGCAAATATTAATGAGGATTTTATTAAATTGAAATAACGAACCGTTGTTTTTCTTTACAAGCATTTTCATCCATCTAAATGTCTCTGGGAGTATTGGGTGTTTGTGTTTAATCATTCAGGATGAAGTTACAAGTTTTGGATGAAGCATCTTTGCTGCTCGGGCTGCGCCGTCGAAAAGTGGGTTTGATGTGTGTTGGGCGGAGCTACTCTATCCTTTCTTTGCCTGTTACAATGGCAGCTATATTTGCTGTGATCCGAATTATTAAAAGTAGTTTCAATATGTTTTTAACTTAACAATCCACCTGAAAACTTCATCTGTGCAGTCAGTTCATCCAGATTACCATCCTGCCTTCAAATATTATTTCTCTGTTGGAAATAATATTGTGCGCTGTCACTGAGAATCCCGTACAACGGCAGCCTCCAGCCCAGTTACCTCTTCACGGTTTTCCCCTACTGTTCGGAGCGGCTGGAAGGCATTTTTCACGTACATAATCCAAACTATTATATTTAACCGGCAGGTTTTGACATTTTAAGTGGATTTAGGCGTTAATACACTGTTTCAGAGCAGCGGTGCCTCTAGAAATGTTTCATAGGGGGGGCAGATGGGGCGAATATAATCTTGGGGTGGCAAACTGAAACTAAAAGCCATAATTTCAAGGTTTGAATCTACTGTTGTGGTAAACCTGCCTGTTAAAAGCATAAAGTCCTGATTAAACACCTACTCATATCTTGGTTTATTGTTTGAAGTTTAATGTTATGTCGCTGGCTGTGCATAATGGGATGAAATGCTAAACTGATGCTACTACAATTTACACTGGCCAGTGGGCATGTGTGGTCGCCAGTGGGCAAGTGTGGTTGCCAGTGGGACAGTGGGGTGGCCAGTGGGACAGTGGGGTGGCCAGTGGGAGAGTGGGGTGGCCAGTGGGACAGTGGGGTGGCCAGTGGGAGAGTGGGGTGGCCAGTGGGACAGTGGGGTGGCCAGTGGGAGAGTGGGGTGGCCAGTGGGACAGTGGGGTGGCCAGTGGGGTTAGCAGTGGTTACTGTTTTAGGGGAATGATCATAGCGCTCTGCATCAGGAGTGCTGTGTCTGTCTCCCTGCCAGCTCCCAGATAAGCTTCTCTGATTGGTTGATGTGACGCTTTGAGCAGCAAAAGTTTATAATTTCCAACTCCAGTAGCTGCTGCTTCTGACGCGCGTCAGATGCTCAGAAGCTTGAAAGGCGCTGCTTGAGCTACTCAGACATGCTGCAGGACGTTTTGCTGCGCCTTGATGCACGTCAACCATTGACTTTGCATTTAAACTAACTGCCTCTTCTGCGGTCTGAACGTAGCATAACTCCTGACCAGTTTAACGCGGTTCTGGGAAATTCCCCCTTTTTTAATGATGGCGTCGCCTCACCTGCTGTCATTATTACAGCAGCTGGTTGGAGGATGTGTGACTTGACCTTACCTTATGTCTCTTTGGGGAACAGAATGAGTCATGGCGTTGACCTTCTGGGTTTTTTTTCCTCAGAGCCTTTAATAAGAAATATTTGACACTTTATGATGATTTTTTTTATTTTTCCTCCCGTTTCATTGATTTCCTTTTCCTTTCTAAAACAAATCAGAGGGTTTGGTCCGCAGTTACAAGATATGACCTCGCATACATATATATCATGATAAGCATTTGATGCTGAGACATTCGGCGGTGAAACACGTCTTTCAACCTCTCCTCGTATCCCAATCCATAATTTATCCCCTTCAAACACGGAGAGCCGCCAATCTTTCCCAACTTTTCTTCATCTTCTGACCAGTTTAATGTATTGACCCATATTGAGAAACACATCAGATGTAAGTGCATTCCCATCGGCCTGCCAATGCCATGCCAGATTCAATGCAGGGTGCGTCAGCGGTGCCATTAGTGTTATCGGATTGCTCCACATGCAGCTGAAAATTGATCCCCATCAGTTGATGTTTTTATTGTCTCTGTAAAAAAAACTAAAAAAATCAGCTGTTGTTTTTTTTTTCTGTAACTTAAAGCTTCTCTTCCGTTTCTCTTCTCCTTCCCTGTTCTTCCTAATCTTCTATTTTCCCAACTACATTCCTATCCTGATCCCCACCTACCGTCCTTTCCATTTTTTTTCCCATTTGTCACCCACTTTTAATTTCCATCATATCTTTCCTCACCTCTCCTCTCCACAGCCTCCCCCTCCCCCTGCTCCTTCTCTGTGCAGGGAAGCAAGACGCTGCAGAGCAAATCCTTGCTGAATTCCTACTACTCAGGTACATTTGTGCTCAGTCCAAATCTGTAGAGAGGCTCAGGCGGCCGTTTGCAGTGTATTTGGTTGCTGCTGTTTATTGGGAATTCAGTGAGCTGCAGTCATTAGAGCATAAAAATATGGGGGTCAAGAGATGCCATTAATCAAGCCAACTATTGTTCTAACCAGTTATGAAATTAAGACGTTCAGATAAATTAAAAATTATTGATTAAAACGGTTGAATGGGGCACAACTTTAAACTGAATTTAAAGTGAATTTTCACAAAACGTATCCATGAACATTTTTGTCAGGATCTACCCACCACGTGCCCACAACACTAACCCCACTAATGCCCATGTGATGCAAACAGTTTGGTGTCAGACTTGTCTTAAGATAGAACCTTTGTACAAGAAGATTTTTAAATTCTAGTCTAAACCTGAATTAGATCGGTTCCATAGATCCTTGAAGCCAAAGCTTAACGAGTCTTATTCTGGTCAAGTTAAAAAAAAACTTTTGAACCACTTGTTTATTTTTTTCAATATTAATTTGATTCAGTTTATTTCTATAGTGATAATTCACAACATCATCAGCTCAAGGCCCTTTACAGTTCACCAGATCATACCGTCAAATTGATTCCAAGTTTTCTAGCTAAGGCAATCCCTCACACTAAGCATGCTTGTAGCGACAGTGGACAGGAAAAACTCCTTTTTAACAGGAAGAAACCTCCCGCAGAACCAGACTCAGTGTGAGCGGTTATCTGCCGAGGCCGACTGGGGTTCAAGAAGACAGAAGCAGAGATACAAAAGGCAACTGTAAAAGTTGACCCGTTACAGGAAACACACAGCTAGGCAGACCATGTCAGAGGATGAAGAGAGCACATCCAGTTAGTCACAGTCAGAGAAACAGGACTACACTGGAAAACAGGCTGATCTCCAACATCTATAAACAAAGGTGTTGATGGCAGCAGCTGATATTTCTCTCCAGGACGGAGTCACAGCCAAACAGGAACAGACCAGATGAAGCTACTATGAGAAAAAGCAGAGAGAGCAGAACGTTAGAGATTGAACTAACAGATTCTGCAGAGTGAGAGAATAGAGATAGAAGCAGAATGATGAAAAAAGGGTCTCTATGTCCTCCAGCAGTCTAAGCCTATAGCAGCATAACTATAGAGATAGCTCAGGATAACCTGAGCTACCCTAACTATAAGCTTTATCAAAAAAGAAAGTTTTAATAATTATATTTTAGCCTGTATGAATAATTTAATGCAAACTCATATTCCTATTCCTTGCCCCTAAAATGTATTTTAGGTTGTATAATATCTTAGAATTATACAGCTTAGTTGTGAAAGCACCAAATTAATTTAACGTAATTAACACTTGATTAATCAGAAAAAAACATAAATTAGGTTCAATCTTGAATTACCAATGAAAGACCGTGTTTTTTGGGGCAATGGTGTCAAATCTCTGGATTGGGAGTGCACTCTTGGACCACCACAAGTTTCATCACTCTGGCCCAGGCTTTTTCTCACTTTACGTTACGACCATCTATAAATGTAGAAAAACACTATGCAGATGTTCTCAGATGAAGCAGTAATGTATTGTTCAGCAAGCTGGCAGCATCCCTAGCTGAAAGTCCCATGTTCAAGATAGAGTTTAAAAATTACGTCTCAAACTGGTACAATAGTACATTTAAAGAATTAGTACGCCCCAAACATGATTAGCCTTCATTTTCTACTCACCCCCATGCTGAACAACACTCTGCAGTACTTTTTTGATATCTCAAATGCATCTGGAGATCTGGGAGGCTTCTTGCTGTCTGCTGACATTCAGATAATGGAGGTCTATGGCGCCCGAGGCAGAAAGGTTCATAAAAGTCCACAAAAAACGTGTCAATATTCCTCCATACTGCTCGTCCAATGTATTCCAAGTGTCCTGAGTGGGTAGCATCCAGAATTTACTCGAAACAAAGTCATTTAGAATGTTTTTAGAGCACTAACAGTAGTGTATAGGACTTCCTAAAAGCGCGTTCACGAGTCTACGGAAGCCGGCAGACCAAACCAGATGAAAGTGCGCATTCAGCGTCTGCTCTGCCGATAATGCAAGCGTAGAAGAAGAAATGTGCTGTTTACCTGTGCAAAGAAAGAAACAACGAAAGAAAAATGTCTGAGGACTTCAGTGTTGAGGAAGAGCATGAGTTCTTTGCCGAGCTGAATGCGCACTTTCATCTGTTTGGTCTGCCGCGGTTTCCGTAGCGTTGTGAACTCGCAGGCGCGCGCTTTCAAGAAATCCAATACACTACTGTTTATGCTCTAAAAACATTCTAAATGACTTCGGTTCGAGTAAATTCTGGACGCTACCCACTCAGGACACTTGGAATACATTGGACGAGCAGTATGGAGGAATATTGACACGTTTTTTGTGGACTTTTATGGACCTTTCTGCCTCGGGCACCATAGACCTCCATTTTTTGAATGTCAGCAGACAGCAAGAAGCCTCCCAGATCTCCAGATGCATTTGAGATATCAAAAAAGTACTCCAGAGTGTTGTTCAGCATGGGGGTGAGTAGAAAATGAAGGCTAATCATGTTTTGGGTGTACTATTCCTTTAAGGTGGAGTGAATCTAAAGGCAACGCAGCATAACCCATGACCCCAGTATTACCTTCATTTAGGATATATTAAACATTTTTCAGCTCAGTCAATATTCATCTCCTGCTGAGTATAGATGCTGAATTGTGCTTTTCTGGAATTGGAAGACAGAGCTGGAAATGAACAGTAGCTCCACAGTCCGAATCTGAAAAACTCTTATAAATTATCCTACAGTCAGAGCTATAAAGATCCGTCCATTGTCTAAATGTTCTCAGTGATTATATTGGCTGTTATATGACAGTGAATAAGCTTCAACATTAAGCTTCTGTTTTTCCTTTTGTGTCTCCTGCAGTGTCCAAAGAACCGGTTCCAGCCACAACTTCAATAGGTAAGAAAACCACTGCTGTCTGAAAGGGAGGTGACAACCAATCAGATTCCTTCCTTCCTTCCTTCCTTCCTTCCTTCCTTCCTTCCTTCCTTCCTTCCTTCCTTCCTTCCTTCCTTCCTTCCTTCCTTCCTTCCTTCCTTCCTTCCTTCCTTCCTTCCTTCCTTCCTTCCTTCCTTCCTTACCAGTTCCTCATTTTTGACCCTTACCTTGTTTCTTTCCCTCTTCTTGGCATTAGAAGGTAGCAGAAGTAAAGTTTTTTTTTTATCCTCTGCTAAAACTCTGCAGAGAAAACAATTCAGACTGCAGAGATATAAACCAACTTTATGTGTTTTCACTGTGGCCAAAACTAACAGAACTAAGTGGCCAAAAGGAGGAAAATGGATCATTAGCAGCTCTGTTTGAGGGTCTCTTCTCTTCAGTTGATTGGCTGCAGTGTTCCCCAGCTGTCTGTACAGGTTTGCTGATGCACATCAGGGCATGATGAGGCAGAATGCAAAAAGATGCTTGAATGATTTATGCACTGGCAGAAATTCGGTGTTATACATCTTCACACAATGACAATAGCTTTTGTGCAGCCATCTGTTCACTTTACAATCAGACAGAAAATCTAGAAATGGAAAATGCACTTTGATCATGATGGAAACAGAAAAAAATCAGCTGCTCGCAACAAAAATTCTAAAGGTTAAGAAATTAGTATAAAATCCTCCATATATCGGGTGACCAGATTTGGGTTTCTTAAAAAGTAGGACCGGGCCCCAGTGGGGGACAGAGCGACCAAACCTGATCCAGGCCGCCATCACCGGGTCGGATTCGGTCGCTAACAACTTCACAACTTCCATTTAAAAGCTGTTAAAAACTGGTGACTAAGGTGGTGAAACTCTAAACTAAGTAGCTACTATGGAAGGCAGGAAAAATGGTGGCAAAACTTTATCATTAAATTGATGCATCCTTGTTTAGATTAGTAGTTATAATATAATATTAGTTATAAACAAAGGTTGTAATTCTATAGAAGCAGCGCCACTAATTACGTCTGATGATGCATTTCAAGTACAACCGCAGCCCAGTTGGGCTGGAGTTATTATGATATTATTATTATTATCGTTTGTCATGGGCATCAGATTATCGGCCAATGGAATGAGCATTGTTACCATTAAAATAAGATAATTAGTTATTTGCACTAAAGTAGTAGGGATTCATCTGTTCCAACTGTTGCATTTCTGAATCCTTCCCAGTGGTGCATGACTTTACACGAGTCAAGTGAATGTGATTGGTCGATTATCAAGTTTGATTGTGGCTGGATTCTTTGAAGCATCTTGCTAATCAGTTAGCAACTTAGTGCTAGTAGGTTCCCAATGGGAAATTCCATTGGTACCAAGTAGCACTAAATTGGTGACTTAGAAACTACACTGTCAAGGAACGCTATGGACAGAGGAAACATGCAAGAGGAGGAGAGTTTGGTGTCAGAGGTCGTGGAGGAGTCTCCTCCGTCATCCATTTTTTATTTAGAGGAGGAAAGCGGGGAGGAAGATGTTGTGGAAGAGGACGCCAGGGCGGCAGAAGCTTGGTTTGGTGTAGAAGGCTTCCAGCCGTACATGTTTGAGCCCTTGCCTCGCAACGCTGCCAGTTCTGTTAGCTCTACGCCTGCTGAAGACACAGACGTCCATCCCCGTGAACACTGGGACAGAACTCAATGGGAAAGGAAATGAAATAAATCGTTGGGTATATTAGCTGCGACATATGAATCAAGATGCGAATTTAGGTGTTCAGGCTGACGTATAACTAACTGGCCTGTATAAGATAACGGAAAAAAACACGGATTTTAGGACAGGATATTTATTTTTAAATAGAAATTTTCTAACTTTTGGGACAATATCGTCTCATAAAGAGTACATTTATAAACATGTTTAAGCCAGAATGATTTGACATTTAAATATGATTTCCCTAAGACTTTGATAGAAGAGACTGCAGTTGTTTTTTTTCTTATTCTAAATATAAACTGTTTTATTCCATTGGCAAAGTAACTCTCTTATCTGCTCAATTCAAGTAACAATGCACTTATTTTAACAAAAATTGACTTACCTAGATTTAGATTTTTTGCAGATTTTTTTCTCAATGCCTTGAGATGACGTGTTGTGAATTGGCGCTATAAAGGTAAACTGAATTTATTGAATTGAAATAAGATGGCTCCTTCAAAAGGAAATAGTTTTTTTCTAGCAGGTTTAATTCAGGTGGAGCAATGGAGATAAAACTGAACAAGGTCTGAATTTAAAGCAGCAGGATAATAATTACGGCAGAGAATCCTCGTCCTCCACTTATTAACATGCTGCTGTTTCTCACTTCATTAATTCTACTAGTTTAATTACTTTCAGGCTGACTTTCATTATCAAAAACCAAGCACACTAGGTTGATATCTTCTCTGACAATTTGCATAAATTACAGAAATAAATAAAAACGCATTCAGTTTTGTGCCTTTAAGAGGAAAACAAATGTTACTCCAGATCACTAATAAACAATTTAAACAGGTAGAGATGAACAGGCCTCTATGGGGCTCTTTTTCTCTCCACAGAGAGCTTTATTGATCTCTGCTCATTGTCAATTTAACGCTTAACACATTGATTTCTGTCAAGTCCATTAGGTCCATCATTTTCCAGGTGGCCTCTGAAACAGCCGTAATGTCGGCGCTCAATAAATGGATGAAAATGGTTTCATTTTGAAAGGCAGAGTCCTACATTTGCACCCGCTCTGGCACCTTTTTAGCTTTCTGCAAATGGATAATAGCCCCACCGCGCTGAATGTAACAGCGAGCGTCGTATTTCAGGGGCTTAATGGGAGACAGAGACCTGAGAGGGAGAGTTATTAGGATGACGCTGACGGAGACCTGAAGGATCAGAGGGGGACGAGAAGCTCGGCTGAATCCAACATGCAAGCCAGAGCCCACTTTGCTATTTTAGCTTGCACATTTTCTGGTTAAATCCCCTCAATCCTTTGATTCAGTATGTTTTTTCTAGGTTTCTGAAATAACCAGCCTTGCTTCATACCGGTCAAGTTTTGGATTGAAAACAAGGGAACTTTTACAGCGTCTGCTGGGAGTCTTCCAACTGTCCAAGTCAAGCTCCAGTATTCATTATTATATGATTACAAACTAATGCCGCCGTCTCTGTTTAAGTTATCATTGGTTTTATTTCCATTTTGTGTTATTCTAGTTATCTTTTGGTTGTATTGGAGTTCTTATGTATTTCTTGTTTACTAGTGATGTTATGAGATGAGCTGAGGCTTCAAAATTGGTGACGTCCAAAGCCTCTCTACCATGATACCAGGTGACCGCTTCAGGAAGTGGTTCAGAATAGGGATGCACGATATTGGGATTTTGGCCGATATCCGATATGCCGATATTTTAAAACTCATGTAGCCGATAACCGATATTAAAGCTGGAAAAAAATAAGTAGTCATTGAAAATAGCAGTTTTGTTATCCATTTCTGACACTTTGAAAAATAATATACTCAAATATATTTTCATATGCTGATATCAAATTGATTTTTAAAAACGCGGTATCGATCTATTTTACTTTCAAAATCTCTTGAAATTGAATCGTTCTGTTACAAACTCTTGTGATATTGCAAATTCTTGTTAGATTTTGTTAGTTAAATAGATCGATACCGCGTCAATATATCAACATATAAAAATATGGCAAAATTTTGTGAATTTTCAGGGGATTTCGTAGCATAACGATGACATATAGCAATATTTCATTAGTAAAAGAGATTGATATGGTGTTTTTAAATGGCAATATATCAGCATATGAAGATATTGTGATATTTTAATGGATCAATATTTTTTCCCTCGTCTTTAGAAGTTTTTAAGTCTGTAAAAAATAAGTTTTTGAGGAAGAAGAAGAAGTAGTATTTTTTTTTTTTTTTTTTTTTTTTTTAGAGTTTAGAAACTCAGAAGCTGATCAAATATCAGCTTAAATATCGGTGGGGTGGCCGATGTCCGATATTCAGTTTTAAGGCCGATACAGGCCGATACAGGCCGATACCCATAGGGGGGCGATTATATCGTGCATCCCTAGTTCAGAAAGCGCAAGAACTTCCACTGGCATTTAAACAGCCTCAGTATTCAGTCAAGATGTGGGAGTTTGTAGGAGAGCTGCTGTAAGTTGGATAGAGTTTGGATTAGATACATTCATTTCAATTCAGTTTATTTCTATAGCGTCAATTCACGTCATCTAAAGGCACTTTGCAGTTCAACCAGATCATCCAGTCAGGGTGATATAAAGTTTTCTATCTAAGGAAAACCAGTTGATTGCCTCGACTCATTGACTCGAATGCAATCCCTCACACCAAGCATGCTTGTAGCGACAGTGGAGAGGAAAAACTCCCTTTTAACAGGAAGAAACCTCCAGCAGAACCAGGCTCAGTGTGAGCGGCCATCTGCCGAGACCGACTGGGTTTCAAGTAGACAGAAGCAGAGATAGAAAAGGAACTTGTCAACCAGCTCACAGGCCGCCCCATCCAGAAGACGCACTGACCACCCCCCACATCAGACGACGAAGAGAGCGCATCCAGCCAGCCACACTCAGAGAAACAGCACTACACTTAAAAACAGGCCGATCTCCAACATCTATAAACAAAGGTGTTGATGGCAGCAGCACAGCTGATATTTCTCTCCAGGATGGTGTCACAGCCAAACAGGAACAGACCAGATGAAGCTACTATGAGAAAAAGCAGAGAGAGCAGAACGTTAGAGATTGAACTAACAGATTCTGCAGAGTGGGAGAATAGAGATAGAAAGAGGAATCTGTTTGGAACATAAGGAAGAATCAGATCTCTGATATAAGATGGAGCTTGGATTTCACAGGAAGCCAATGAAGAGAAGCTAGGACAGCAGAGATATGATCTCTCTTTTTAATTTTCATCAGAACTCTGACAGAGATTTTGTTTATTTGCTGCAGCCAAAGCCTCTCTAGGATGGAGGATGATGTCTGGATGCCAACTGAGCA